TTATAATGCATATGTATAGATCTACTACACACCAGTTTGTTGACCATCTGGATAACTCCTACTGGTTCACCGTCCATATCGTATATCGGCGCTGATAAGATGCTTTGCGTCCGGAAGCCGGTTTGCTTATCCATTTCACTAAGATGGGGTAGGCAAATAATAGTTAAATACAAAAGAAAATGATAAAGACCAGAGTTGGGTACTTCTGAAATACCTCAACAATCAATTTTGATGTAAAAAAACAAAGCAACTGGTCTCATTGAGGATGTCCATCCACAAAAATTCCCATCGCTTCGCCATTGTAACTTCAGTAATATGCTCAATCACACGAATCTCGAATCGTCAATATGAACACAAAATTTTCACATACGAGTAGAAGCGCGGGTGCTCATATGCATCATCAATGTTAATCAACGCCTTCTGCTCAATGGCATGGCCTGCTATCGTAGCCGATGCAGGGACGCGAAATGGCTGTGTTGGATGATAGAGGGGAGGAATCAGGAATCAGATCAAGGATAACCACAAACTTTTAAAAAGTATTGTGATAGGAAACCTAATGTTAGCAATTATGACATCTCGGCTGCCAAATAGTGAATACCTGGTGGCGAAGATTCTGAACTACTCCAGTAGATTGCGTTCACATACACCCCAGACCACACCAAATCATATCTATGGGTTTTCTATGGTGTACAGTACCTAGGCGTCGAGTAGCACATCCCATACCTTTTGCTTGACTGCAAATTGACTGTAGAGCTCCTTGTGTTTAGCATCGTACAGAAAGAGCGTGCTGCGTTCACATGCCAACAGCTTATGGCCCTCGCTCATGACAGATATGAAAATGAGCCGCAATTCCTTCGCCTTCTTCATTTTCTCGGCCTTGTCGGTATCCAAGAACAGCAAACAACTCATCCCTACACGCGAAACAACGTAAATGGTTGTGAGAGTCAGATGATCCAGCTGTCTCGCTACGAGGCTATGGCCCAATCTTTCGTACAGATTATTTGAGCGCCCTGACAACATATATGAACCAGTCAGCGAGATGAGCTTGCGCTGATGAAAAACCACTGACATGCACTAGCGCCCGTTGCATATATGTGTTCCCAAGAAGACACCAGATCGTAGAACTCTGTTAACCGTCATGCTAACCACACTCACCCAACAAACAGCCCATCAGCACTCCCACGGCCGATCCGAAGACGCCAGCATATCTCACATTCGTCAGTCTTCGTTGATTCGGGGTCAGGTTAGCTTTGGGTAGATTTAACTTGCCACACAAGTAGTCTACAACACCCCCAAAGGCCACCCCAGACACATCGCTCACACATTGTCCCAGCCCCGCGGCTGTGATGGTACTCAGACCAAAGCGAACCCCGATGCTAGCGTCTATCAACTCGCCAGCCGTGATCATAACCACATTGTCCATAAAGCCGAAACCTGGGGACCACAAACATCAGTCATCTTTAATTGATATATGTATTGGTTGTAATTTAAAATCTATCATCCTTATTAATATCATATGCATGAAGCAAAAGTACAGGCATAATAAAACTATACACAAAAACAGACGCATATAC